TGGGGGACCTTGAAAGAAAAAGGAAGGGAAGAGGAGAAAGAGTTATAAATGACACTAAAGGTGCTGTGAGATAGGTAAGAGCGAACAAAAAGTACAAGCATGAAGACCAAGGGAATGGAGTTTTTTTGAGTAAAAGGGGGTGGTGAACTGTATCAAAGGCAGCAAAGAGGCCCAAGAGCAAGAGTACAGAATAGTGACCATTGGCTTTAGCTGTTATTTAACCACTTGAGAGTTCTAGGAAAGCAGTTTCTGTGGAGTGCCTATTTTAGAATGTTGGGAAAGAAGCCAGTAGAAAGGGAGAGAGGGTGGCCGTAGTATTTGCAAGTGAACAGGGTCCAGGGGGCAAGTGGTTAGGTGGGCATTATAAAAAACATTTAGTGACTTTGTCCATAGTAGCAGGGTTAAACGAGGGAAGTATTGAGCGTGCAGGTGGACATGGATTGTTAGGTGTGGCAGATATCTGTACAGTGGATCATGAATAGTATCAATCCTATTTTGAAGTGATTTGCAATCTCCTGGACAGTGGATGAATTAGTGGGTGGAGGCAGTGAAGGACAAAGTAAAAAGGTAAGAAAGAGTTGACGGGGGCACTGCCTGAGAGGCTGTTAATGAGAATGTTGAAAGGGTCTATTTGGCATCAAAGAGAGAGGAATTATATTTTGGAAGGGCAGATTTATACTGGATGACGTCTTGCTGGCACTTAATCTTACACCACAGATGCTCAAGAGTGTAGCTACGTTTTTTGAGACTTCTGTTGTTTGTTTGCCAAGGTTGTAGCAGTGAAAGCCTGATCCTGTGTGTATTAAGGGGGGTGTCCAGGAAGGATGACAGTGAATTGTTGTAGATGGAAGTGGCTAGGTTGGGGCAGCACAGGGGTGAGATTGTTTCATAGATGTAGTCTGTTTCAGAAAAGAGAAGGGTTAAAGTAGCAAAGGTTTCTACGGGTAACTGTTAGGTGGTTGGGGGGAAAGGAGGTGAAAGAGAGTGAAGTTTATGAGGTAGTGATCATAGAGGGGAAAAGGATTGTTGGAATGGTTGCAAGGAGTGCATAGGTAAGAGAATACAAAGTCAAGGGAGTATCCTTCAGAGTGAGTAGAATCATATGTCCATTGTTTTAAATCAAAAGAGGAGGTTAGGCTGAGATGTTTAGAAGCAGCAGGAGTGGTAATATGAATAGGGATGTTGAAGTCAATGAGAATTGGGAAATTCAGAATAAAGAAAGTAGGGTAGTATGGCAGAGAAATCAATAAGAAAGCTTGATACCAGTCCAAGAGGCCGATATATCACAGCAGTTCTCAAAGAAACTGTAGAAAATATACAAACATAATGAGCCTCAAATGAGGAGAGCGACAGAAAAGGAGGTGAATGAAGAATCTAAAAAGTGCTATGTGGAGATAGAAGGATTCCCACTTCACCTCCCTTCTGTCCACTGGGTCTGGCAGAGTAGGTCCAGAGGAGGCCATCATAGGAGAGCGCATGGGAGACAAATAGAAACTAGATTGTGTGGATTGAGGCTGCTGCCAGAGGATGAGGGGTTGGTCAAAGTTAAGTGATGGAGGCCCAGGATTTGGGGAAATATCTCCAGAAGTCAGGAGACAAAGAAGGATGAGGGAGATAATATGGGAGTGTGATTGAATTATATGGAGGGGCATGCACCAGTGACCTGGAGGTTATGTTCGTATATGGGTTTAGATTTAGCAGGGGTTGATGAGTGCAGTAATAGGGAGAGTACAGGAGTGAGGGATATATATTTCAGCTGTGGGGTGCACAAGAGGGGCGAAAGAGAGTTTAAAGAAATAGGACACAACTGTGAGAAGGAGAGGAAGAGTGTAGGGCACATGTTACTGGGTGGAAATAATAAGAAGCAGAATTGGTTAGAGATGAAAGAGTTGGATTGGGGCACAGAGTCACCTGCAGTTGGTTTAGTGTTTTGCAAAGTAATTTGTTGCTGATTTTCTCTTTTTGTGCCTTAGCTAAAGTACAGTGCAGAAGTGCAATAGCTAATCCATTAAATTACTTTATCCAAGCAGAATAATTGCCAGTGTCACTCAGCCTGTGCTTTCCCCATAAAGATGGTCTAAATTTATATTGGGATGGGTGGGGAATTCATAAAGGACATATGGCTAGCATGCAGACTTCAAGTTGTAGAGTTGTAAAGTTTAAGATCAGCTCATAATTTAGGTGAGACAATAAGAGAACATAATACACATCACAATAATATGGACAGGGTTCCAGATGTAGAAAGCAGCATAGGCTCCATGAAGCACATGGATAGTAATGAGTCACGTTCAGGTAGAGGGCTATGTTGAAAGCAGCATAGGTTACCATGAAGCACATTGTTAGTAATGAGTCGATTTCAGTTAGAGGTGGATGTTGAAATCAGCATAGGTTACCTGTGAGGGGACAGAGAAATGATGTTCAGATGATGCAGTGCAGAAGTGCAATACTTTATCCAAGAAAATACTTTATCCAAGAAGAATTACTGCCAGTTCCACCCCACTCTGTGCTATCCCAACCTGAGCCAGTACTGATTGCTGTATTTATAAACACCTCAATACATTTGAAGATCTTTACTAGGTCTTTCAGACTTGCTCTTCCAAAGGCAATTATGTTTAGTGTTTCTTGATTGCTAGATCCTTTGTTGGTAATAATTGACCCAAGGAGGCAGAAGCTGTCTACCATAGATTAGACAGTGTTTAAATAACTAAACAAGGTGTCAAATGAATAAAGTGTGATATCATCATTGCATTTCTAAGTACTACAAGATTGTTTTTAAAGTGTAAGTCCACTTGTCAATAAAAAATTATATACTGTATATACTTCAAGCATTTTATAAAACCTAATGTCTTATTACTCTCTTTGGATTCCCATCACTTCCCACTTCCTGAGTGCTAGGTGAGAGGGCCGGTCTGCTATAATCACATGATCAGTCCCTGTCTCGTAGTAAGAGAAAAAAAAGACTAGAACATTACATGTTTAACATGACTACATGGACTCAAGATTTGAATTTTGTCACTTTTAGAAAATCATAACTGGTCAAAAATTAATATGGACAGACCATTTTATATAAAAAAAATTGCATGAGCAGCAAAAAATAGAAAATGTGTGTACAAGGCCTTTCACTTGTATAAGCACGCCTGTGCTTTACACACAATCAACCAATGAACTTGAATAAATAGAAGCACAATAACATTCAAACCAACATGCTTAACAGACATTCTTTCTTTCTTAGGCAAGCAGTCAAGATGAGAGAAAAAGGGACTTTGAAACTATTTTTGCACACTATGATGTAGTAAGTACCATCAACTGCTCATTGTTTTAACAACATAACTATGTATGGCTGAAATATAAATATCAAGTTTTAGATTTGGGGTTAATCCTAAATCCAAGGCAGATGTAAATCAATGTATGTAATAATTACAAGCATTACATTACATTATAATTACAAGCATTACATTACATTATAATTACAAGCATTACATTACATTATAATTACAAGCATTTACATGCATTTTGAAATACTGATAATATGAGTACCTGCATATGTCTTTATTTTAGCTTTCTGTATTCATGTGCATAGCAATACAGACTGGAAAGCTGGTCTGGGCTACATTGCCTCACATAGTGCTGGTTATCTAATGGCGTCCATATGGGGAACAATTTTTATATAGAATGCAGGAGAAAAATAGGATCAGAAGATCGAAAAGATTGTTCAATTTGCCATACATTGAACAATATGCCTACTTTTCTACAATCAGATTCACAATCCAGACCCGCCAGAATATTTTTAATGAAATTCTTTGGTTTTGTTCAAAATTGATTGATGACAAGGTATTTTCTTCTGCCTGCCCCCTTCACTGGAGCCTCTGCACACATGGGGCAGGATTCCATACATAACACAGGAGCTGCAGCTCTTTCCAGTAAAAGCCTGGAGCAGGCTCTGCGATTTCAGTGATTTATGAGCTGGATGGATAAGTGGCCCAGTGGTGATTCATCCCAGGAATTTGTGGTATTTTATACAGGTGCTTTATGCCAGTCATGAGAAAGGGTGGCATATTGATTTGGTGAGTTTCTTCCTGGAGGGGGAAGTGTCTCAGATGCTAGAGTGGTGACTAAAGAAAATTCCTGGTGGAAGCGGTTACTTTTTTTCTGCACAATGTATGGACTCTGTGTGGACTTTTTTCTATGAACTCAACACTATATATATTTTAATGGCATTGAGGTTTTGAGATAATGATAAGTCACTGCACTGCTTTCAGACTGGAGTGAAAGCGATTTTTACTTTTATTTCAAGTTGATTAGGATATCTTATATTTTATTGTGGTGGCAGTGATGGATTTTTATTTTTAGATTTTTGGTTTAAAGACACGTTTGAATTGTTTACTCTTAAGGTGTTACTAAACCCTCTACAGTAAAATCAGTCTGTATATGCAGTAAAGCATGCTTGTTATACTCACTGTGGAACCTAAGGGGTTAATCCTCTGCATTGTGCAAAAATGCTGTTTAATCCTGATTTCTCTGATCCTCCCCTTCTTCCTGTGTCCCCCTCTGATGTCCTGTTAAGATATATGTGTGGAGACACTCTGCACATGCTCAGTTTAGTGTATATTGCTAGAGAGGCTTTTTTTTCTTGGGAAAGTGCATGTGATCAGCACAGGGCCAATCAGCACTCTCCAGACAGAGGACAGGGGCTCTGCATCCTCCTAGAGCAGAAAGAAAACCCCTCCTACAAGTTTTAACATGTGCTTGACTAGACACTGATAGCAGTCACAAGACTGCTCTAACTGCTGATGAGAAAAGGTATATAGCAGTTTATATTTACTAAAATAATTGCATTTCCATGTTGTGTGTACTGGGGGAGACCAGATAGAGAGAATGCAGGGTCCTGGGTTTAGTAACACTTTAAGAGTGGGGTTTCTATATGGTTTTTATGTTCACTGTACACAAGAAGGTTTTTGGGCCCTTAGATATGCTGAATAACCATATGTAATATTTTCCAGAGTAAAACAGGAGCCCTTGAAGGGCCTGAAGTTGATGGATTTGTCAAAGATATGATGGAACTAGTGAAGGTGAGTTTTTATAGCCAGATACAAAATATTAACATGAAAAAATGCTTAGCCTTCCAAAATAGCAGCACAGTTAATTATATTTTATTATGTTCATGTCCCTCTGCATGTTAGCATGCATGTGTATACACAGACACAGTACATGTTCACTTGCACCTGTATAAGTGTGAAAAAAGTGCATGCATGAGTAAGTCTGTCTAGACTGTTACTAATATGTGTTCATGCTTTTAGAGGTGAGAGCCAAAAGCATCAGCTTCCCAATTCATGATCACTTTCCCATGACAATGTCTTAAAGTTCCATTAACTCACCTCCCTCAAATATGTTGTCTCTCAAATCTGCCACCACATCCGATATTTTACTTGGTAAAAATTGTGTCTACCCTGAGTCAATTGAAAATCCAGGGAAACAGAAGGAAGTTTGGGTGTGCTGTTGGTATCACTTTCTGAAATTAATATAGAGGTGTGGGGCTATGAAAAAAAACATTTAAACTCAGCTACATGGATGCAGCATTGGGTCGATGCTACATCAATCCCATGCTGGCACTGCACTGAGAACTGTGAGAACTGAGCGATCAAAGACCGCTGATCACTCAGTTCTCCCCTCCATTCTGAGCAGAGAGCTGTGAGTTTCAATCTCCAACTCTCTGCTCTGTCCCTCCAGCGCTCACTGGAGTGCTGGGCTGTGGAGGATGAGAGGGATTGGCTGGCTCAGGCTCCTAGCAGCATGCTAAATGGCTGAACCAGCTGCCGGTCCAGGCATCTGGGTGGATCCTGATCATCCTGGGCTGTGGAGACGGCGGGATTGGCTGGCTCAGGCTCCTAGTGGCATGCTAAATGGCTGAACCAGCTGCTGGTCCAGGCATCTGGGTGGATCCTGACCATCCTGAGCTGTGGAGGAGGCAGGATTGGCTGGCTCAGGCTCCTAGCGGCATGCTAAATGGCTGAACCAGCTGCCGATCCAGGCATCTGGGTGGATCCTGATCAAGATCTTTTCAGAGCCTGTATCGGCTCTGTGACATCAGCCGACAACAGGCTAAAGCTGTAAACTAAAGGTCACAGGAGTGCTGAACTCCTGGGATCAAGTAGGGCCAAAATGCTTTGGCCATAGATCTCTTTTAAGTCTCATAATTTTTGGAACTCATGCAGTATCTGGTAAATTATGAGCAATTCTGTGGGTGATAAAAGAGGAGTACTGCGTAACATCATCAATGCCCACAACCCATAGTTACTCAATGCAAGCTGCAAGCAGGTCTCAATGGACAGGAATAACTGGGTGGGATTGTGCATAAATTGCAATCTATTCATTCCCATAGATCATCATTGCTGGTAACATCATGATTACACTTTTTAGTCTGTGGAGCTATATAGGGTTCTAAACAATAGTGATAGTGAGTGGTTGTGCGATGTTTACTGTTACACAGATAGAAGTAGGGTAATCATTTTAGAAGGTATTTACAGATGCAATCAATATTTTGTTCACAAACTAGGAGTTTTGCTTTACTGTAGGGATGAGCAAAAACTGACAATTTTCCCTTCAGCAATATTTAGACAAAATTTCTGACATCTCCTCAAAGTATTGGAAAAGGTGAAATCACTGCCGTCTTTAAAGATGTCAGCAAAAGTCTAGCGATTGATGGGTTCTTGTGTGACCTGCTAATCCGATACCTGTATTTGTGAACCCTATTGCTGTGTGATATACCATTTGTTCATATAACAAAAGGAATTTGATCAGCAGGCCAAGCAAGGACCTTCTGCTAATGTGTCCTTGTTTGTATACAAAGGCACTGTGATGTCTGTATACAAAAGCTCCATGGTTATCATGTCCTCACTTAACTTACTAATTACACGGTGTGTTGGTAAAAAAAAAAGTTTAATTTAAAAAAAAGTTTAAAATGTTTCTATATTTTATAATGGCTTGATATTGGTTCATTTTTGGTATTTATGTTCCACTATTAAAGAATAATTATTTACCAACATCGATTAAGAATATATTAACATATACATTTCATTGTCCCTTCCCTTAGGTTTTTCCCCTTATTTTGGTACATTTTTTCTTATTTAAGTTTTTTTTTTTAAATGGTGTAGAAATAGCAGTCTGAAAAATCTTTAATTCTGGGTTTGTTACTGTCCCACTAATTTTTTTAAACCAAACAAAAAAGAGCAACTTGAACATAATTTGCAATAAGGGAAAGAACATAGCATTTTTTATATTGTTCAATGTATATTTTGTCTATTAAATTTTTTAAGCAAGCCATTGATGATCACCCTGTCCTTGCTTGACCTGAATAAACAGACCATTCCATTCGTGATCACCAGTCCACATCAGGGACACTCAGATTACATGTTTGTTTTTCTCAATTGACCTGTGATAACACATGGTTTGATGATTAACAAAGGCTGCTATGTGCAATTAAAGAGTATTGTGGAGTAATTCATCCTCAAAGTGTACAGGCATATCTCTTTCACTTTTAGTAGTTCAGCTCATTCTGCTCCCTGCTTTGACTCTTTTAATATCTAATGTAAACACAAATCAGGTGTACAGTAAGGCTGGCCATGCATTATACAATTTTCCTTTAGATTTACCAAAACCATATATTTTTAGGTCAAACCTACAGTAAACACTTTCAATTTGTTTGCAGTCATTCAAGGCATTGCATTACATAATTGAAGGTAAATCTGAAGGAAAGTAAATAAAAGAAGTATATAATGTATGGCCAGCTTAGGGGGGAAGACAATATTGCTTCCACCTGAGTTGTAGGACTTCAGTGCTTTGATTGTTCACTTTGCTGTACAGTGTCAGCGAGGTCATATTTTAAAGCTCATTCATTCATTGCTTTTTAAAGTGTATGTATAGCCAACACTTCAATTTTATTGTTTTGGATAATGTGCAGAAGTATTAAAACCCCTAACAATAAATTTTACTCCATGTGTGTCCTGTTTGGGAGATTTCTCTTCACTTCCTGTCTTAGTGATGCAGTAGGAAGTGAGAGGACATCTCCACAATTGTGGAAATTCACTATTAGACAGTTGCACCACAACAAGTATCCCCATCAGAAGATATACCCTCACTTCCCATTCCAGGAACACCTTAAAGGGCCAATTTACACTTCAGACACTTTAGGAAATGTGAAAAGCCCCAATTTCTGACTGTATACAAGAATGCAAAATATTAATTTGCAATAATTCATGTTTACTTGACTAAAAAAAAACAATAACTATTTTTTTTTCACCCTGGCATGAATAAATAAAGTATGTACTTTTAAAAGCACAGTGCATTTGCTTTATTTTCATGCGGTGTATTATAAACCTTCAGGTGCTGGGTTCCGGTCTTTGTATGGAAGTCACACGATGATTAAAGCTGATTAAAATGTGATTTCATATTACAAGTAGATTACTGGCTGACCTTGCAAAGGTCATAATGGATGGTTAAGTAATTATTTTGCTGGAAATGATTATGGAACAAGTTGACTTTGACATTTTAAAAGGGTATACCTAATTTGTCCTTCCATGTAACTATGCTGCACTTAACACTGGGTAAGATTTAAAGAAGATCAAATATAAAAAAGCTTTCCAGGACAAGCCACAACAATCAGCAAAGAGGACCTGTCTTATATTTTTCCCATTTCAAAACACAGGTCTTAAGCTGGCCAGACACGTATAGATTAAAAGCAAAAGACAATTTTCGAACAACGTTCGTCCATTCACCTAATGTTCAAAGAATTTTCGTATGACTTTTCGTATATAACCTTCAGTGGTGGTCATATGACTTTTATTTTAAACAATATACCTAAATACTGGACAATCATTTTGCCTGCGTAGTGTTTTAGGCAGGGAGATATTTTTAATAAGACAAAAAAGGCTTATTCCCTTGGGTGTCCCTCTGGCAGGGGCACTTGAAATCACTGCAACCAAATCTTATTTTAATAGTTAGGTCCTGGTCTGTGTTGCAGCAGCTGTAGTATAAAAAAATCTGCATTGCATGCTTAGTTTATACAGGAGCCACTATCAGCTCTCCTGTATAAGTATAAAAAAAAAAACTTGTAGGCTATGTGATAGCTTGGTTCTGTCCTGTGTTGTTTGAAGTTCTGAAGGAAGGGTTTTCCTCTAAACACATAACTTAAATTTTTTTTTTTTATTATGATTTCAAAGGAACCTGCTATGATCTTCTCTAATGTTGGTTAAAGCAACTTGCCAAGTTTTTAATAAACATTGGAATCCTTTTTTTATCTTAATCAGCCTTAAACCGGAGCTTCACTCACACTGTAAAAAAATAAAAGTCAGCAGCTGCAAAAACTGTAGCTGCTAATGTTTAAAAAACAGCCACTCACCTGTCCCAGGATCCTGCGGTGTCCTCCGCACAGCCCGTTTCACAGGCCGTCCTGTGTTCCCGGTGCTGGCATCTTCACTGTGGGCACCCGGCTGTGACAGCTTGTGGCTTCACAGCCAGGTGCCTACTGCGCATGAGCGAGTAGTGCTGCCCTTTCTGAATGGTCCTGTAGTCTTCTGGGACCTGTCATGAGTCCCAGAAGACTACAGGGAGGGGGAGGACAACTTCCACTTCCGATTACCTGTCAATTTCGGGTACCTGCTCCCTAAAGTTGCCAATCCTTAATGGGGAGCGGAGCACCAGTTATTAAAGCGGAACTTCCCCTTCTGGGTGGAGTTCCACTTGAACCATGCTTCTCCCCTTAGCTACTTTTTTTTTGTTTATTTGTGCTGTTTGTATTTAAACATTTTTTCACTTGGATATCAAAATTTGGAAAGACCCAGAAGGAAAATTGTACACAATTTTATATAGAAAGCCCATAGCAAGCAATATTATATTGGAAGAATGCAGGGGTCACTAAAAAAAGTTGATCGTTGGAGTACTTGGTTCAGATATACAGTAATACCTACCAGTAATTACCAGCTGTTAAACTGATCCATGTTTAACTCTGCTGTATGATTGGAGAATCTTTCCTTTTTTTGTTGCCCTGATATTTTTTTGGTACTGTACACTTTAAAGCCATGGTGTTCATGCTGCATGGCTTTTCTGTATTCTTTGTGAAAATTAATAAAAATGTGTCAGGTAAAAAAAAAACTTAACAGTAGAAACTGTATAAAGAATGAATACTCTGAAAATGAAGCACAGGGTCTTAAAAAAAGATTGAGGACCAAGGGATATGAAGATATGATTTTCTGTAAGGCTTAACCACTTCATGACCAAGGTCAAAACAAATCTTAATTCCCAAATCCAGTTTTGAAACGTTGATATTGCTAGTAAAACTGTACATTTTACAACTGCTTAGTATGTCCAGGTGGATTACACCTTGATCTTTTTAGATTAGGCTTTCATTTGGTGGTTAATTTTAATGGATATCTCATGATTTTCTTTTATTACCCAAGGAAAACTTGGATAATAGTAAATAGTAAAAACATATATTTTTCAAATTTAGCTGTATATTTTTATGACATTACCATGATGCACCACCAAAAAAATTCCATAAAATAAATACTCCTCGTATATGTGCACTATTTGTTCCTTGTACCCGAAACAGGGCCAAGAAATAATAGTATGCATTTTGTTTTTTTTTCATTCTACCTAAACACATTGACACTAATGCTCGCACTGATACTAAATATAGGACCTTTTTTTCCTAGGTAAAGAACACAGCCACTAGCTGACACACTGACATTGCCACTACATTAACACTAACACTCACTAACTAGATCAAGCCCTGATATAGTTATTCTTTAGTTATTTGATTATTTTTTTCAACATTGTTTTAGACTTCTCCTCTAGTGAGGAGCAAAAGATACAATACATTTTTTACTCTTCACAGAGGAGAAACAATGTTAGGTTGAGTCTTCACATCAGTGCTGAATGTGATTGACTAATCACAGTGATCACATGATTGGGAGCCAGTTCTACTATATCCTGACCAATGACACCCCAATTTAGATATAGTCAATAAGTGAAGCTTTGTTTAACTTGATTCACATTTGCTAATGTTATATGTGTATGTTTTTGTTAACAGCCAAGTATCAGTGGTGTGGACCTGGACAAATTCCGTAAGATTCTACTAAACCATTGTGATGTGAACAGAGATGGTAAAATCCAGAAGTCTGAACTGGCTTTATGCCTCGGTCTGAAAATAAGTCCATGAAGTCATGGAGAATCTGCCTTTTTGTGCCTCTTCTTATGTCAGAACTTGCTGGTTTAAGAATAACTATGTTCTGCTACAGATCCTTGTCACACTTGGTGATTGTGGAGTTAGGAGCAAATGCAAGTTAAATGCATGAGTAGACACATTATGAGTGCATGAAAGGCTTTTGACGAATTCCAATGTTTCCAGCAAAATTGTTTACTTCTATGATTAAAAACTGAGAGTTCTTTAAAAGTATCACTTTTTTTCTCAATGACAATCTAGTGAAAGCAAAAAAGATAATATATTTCCTTTTAATCCTAACTGTAATATTTGTTGCAAGTAACAGTTTTAGTTAATTACAACACTTGATAAGTGCATGTGCTTTTTGCCATCTTGCACTGTTGTGGAACAATAAAGTTTTATGTTCTTTTTAAAAACAGCAATCTAACTGTGAGTTGTTGATTACCTGGCCTTTCACAATAAAGATTATCTGACATGCTGAGCAGTTTGTCATTATTGGCTTGTTTGCAAATAATTCCTGGAACCCTCAGAGAAAAAAATGTTTTGCAAATAAAAAAACTTTCAAGAATGTTTTAACTATGGTCATGAAAGTTCGAAGGTCAATACTTTTGCATATTAAAGTCAAACTCTTTCAGAGTGAAATCCAGGAAAACAATGCTCCAAGGAACACAGGGGTATGCTTCACTCCTTCATCCAGCATCCATGTGTGCAAGGCCTAAGGACTTCAGCAGTGGTGAGCATATTTTGCAATTGGCCATTGTGCAAAGAAAGAATTTAAAACTCCCTTTAAGACATATCATTGATTTTTCACATGCAGTATATGCATGTCTTTCTGCTATAGTTCTCATTTGACTTTTTTTTGGATGTTGGAAACTGCCATCCAGCTCACATTTTACCATGAAGTTTATTCCCCTCTGATCTGTGACCCATGCCACTTATCTTGATAAACAATGGCAGATTGAGTACAGTGCCCGATTTTCCACATCAACACCCCTTAGCCTGCTATTGTTAGACTTCAATAGTTTTAAGAATTTTGCTTTCCGGGGGTGATGTGCAATCCTTGCAGCATTTATAAGAGAAACATAACATACTCAACAGTGACATTTTAGGTAGCTTTAGCTCAACATGTAATTGTTTATTGTTTAAAATTACTTGTAATTGTTTAAAAGTTTTTATAAAGGTTTTTGTGAGATCCCCATGCTACAAAAATTAATTCCCTACATTAATTTTTTACCATCCCTTTAGAAACCACTTATACATTATAAAACCAAAAGCAGAACTGGGGAAAGCCTGATGAGGAAACTCAAAACCTAATAAGGTCGGGAGAGATCACATACTTTGCTGGAAAATACTTAAAAGGTTCCCAGCAGTTGGTATCTTGCCTTAGTAAGAACAGCAAAACACATCCCTACGTATTGATCAACATGCTTTTAAAATGCACTACTAAAGGCACAATGGCTCAAATATGGTGGTTCTGTCCCACCCCAGTGGCTTTGTATTGAGACATATACTGGATCAATACTGTGCAAACTTCAGAAGTTACTGGAAAGCCCTCATACATAAGGAGATCCCACTGCTCAGGGAACACAGATTGGTTACCTTTATCTTTGTAGTAGTAAAGCAAAGTAAGGCAGAAATTGTATGCTATATGTCCACAGATGTTCCCATACCTTTAAAGAATTTCTTTGTGTTGTAGTGCACAGTCCCCTTGGAATTCAGAAATCCAGCCTTCTTTATTCTGAGAGCAGCCTCTGTTCTCGTCATATCCTGTTATCCATAAGATCTGTGGCTGCTTTTCCCTCTATTCCTCTGGCCACTGGCCTTGTACATTCCCCCCTGTAGTTCTTGGTAAGGTGAGCAGTAATGTGAAAACATCACAGCGAACAACAGTGCTCAGACACAAGAGTCCCAGACTCCCGGTCTGATCTGCCCACTGTACAGCATAGACCAGAATTCTCATTCATCCATATACATACTGTATTCCTCCCATACATGCCCATTCAGACTGTGGACAGATTGGACCATGAGTCTGAGATTATCTGATCCACCCAATGATTCAGGAGCTTTATTGAGAACTACAGTCTGAATGGGCAGCAATGTGGAGGGGACTGTGGGTGTGTATGGAATGAACCAGGCTCTTGGCTTGTCCATCTAACTATGCTGTACAGTGGGCAGATCAGACATGGAGTCTGAGAATCTGTGGTCTGCCCATTGCAGCAAGAGTTGGATTTACTGAGAACTACAGTCTCAGTGGGCAGCATTGTGAGCAGAACTGTGGCAGTGTATGGAATGAATATGTGTATGGTATGAATCAGGCTCCTGCCTTGTACACCTAACTATGCTGTACAGTGGGCAGATCAGACAGGGAGTCTGAGACTCTCAGGTCCTCCCACTGTATAGCATAGTTAGATGGACATTCCAGAAGTCTGATTCATACCATGCACGGCAGAATGAAATGAAAACGAGAAGCGCACCAACCTTGCGCACTACCCCAGCTACCAAAATGTATTAATTGTAAAAAACATACCCACAAACAGCGAATGAAATCAGGCATGTAAGTCCTCACAGGGACTTGAAGATAGCGTGAGTCCAATCAAGGGAATGGGTGTTCAGTATAGTTGACGCGTTTCGAAGGGGGTCCCTTCTTCATCAGAGCTCATACCATGCACGCCCACAGTCCTGCCTACACTGCCGCCCTATCAGACTCTAAATTCCAGGGCATGATGGGATTTGTAGTCTTACTATGCGTTGATAAGCACTAATGGGAAGTGATGTCGCCGCTTCAGAGATCCCTATTCCTGAAGCCCAGGGATAGAGAAAATTGACGAGATGACATCACTGATTTTTAAAACCGTGAGTTTTGTACACAGCATGCAATTTTATTCTAAATTACTTTTTAGCAGTTTTACTAACTTAACTAACTACACAGGGCTAATGTGCAAATTTTATCACCATCCTGGAGTTCTTCTTTAAGTCTATAAAACCTTCATCCTAAAGAAGTATAACAGAGAATTACCAGTATTATTATTATACAGTATTTATATAGCGCCAACAGTTTGCTCAGCGCTGTACATTATAATGGGAGACAGTACACGAGACAGTACAGTAACAATACAATAAAATACACAAGGGGATCGAGGGCCCTTATAGCTTACAATCTAGGAGGGAGGGAATAGTGGTACAGGAGGAAATAGCTGTGGGGGATGGAGTGGAAGGAAGAGTGGAGGAGATTGGCAATTAGGTGAGGGCGGGGTAGGCTTTAGGGTGCGCCTAAAGGTGAGGAGGGTAGGTGACAGTCTGATGGATTGGGGTAGTGAGTTCCAGAGGATGGAGGAAGCCCTGGAGAAGTCCTGGAGATGGGCATGGAAGGAGGACACCAGGGAACTAGAGAGTAGGAGGTCTTGTGAGGAGTGGAGAGTGCGTTTTGGGTGGTAGATGGATATCAGGTTGGTGATGTAGTTTGGGGCAGTGTTATGAACAGCTTTGTACGTCAATGTTAGTAATTAGAATTTTATGCGTTGGGCAATCGGAAGCCAGTGGAGGGATTGGCAGAGGGGGGTGGCGGATACGGAGCGGTTAGTAAGGTGGAGGAGTCTGGCCGCAGAATTCAGGATAGACTGAAGCGGGGATAACCTGTGTTGAGGAAGGCCAGTGAGGAAGGAGTTACAGTAGTCAAGTCGTGATATATTAAGAGAGTGAATGAGTTGCTTTGTAGTTTCTGTTAGGAACAGACGTATTTTGGAGATGTTGCAGAGGTGGAGTCTACATGAATTTGTCAGCGATTGGACCTGGGGCTGGAAAGACAGATTGGAGTCTAGAATGACACCTAGTACTCTGGCTTGCGGGGTGGGGCTGATGGTGGCGTTGTTGGTCATGATGGAGAAGTCGGGGGGGGCGTGGGCTGGAGGGAAAACTAGGAGCTCTGTTTTGGCAAGGTTTAATTTGAGGAAGTGGAGTGACATCCAGTCTGATATGTCGTTCAGAAGGCTAGTGATTCGGTCAGAGACTGAAGGGGTGAGGCGAGGGGTAGAGAGATAGATTTGAGTGTCATCGGGACATAGAGATGGCAGTTGTACTTGTTAAATGAAAACAATTGCAGGTATATGCTGGACTTTTACTAAAAGTTCCTCAAGATACAGTCTGCATGGAAAAAAAAAAAACCTACCCAGAAGGGATAGATAAGCCATTTCTCTAAAGTTGGCAATAGGCAGAGCTCAGTGTTGATGGGGGAATCCCTTCTCGGGAGCCATTGGGCCTGGCCAGGAGAACACAGTGATTACTGCTAGCAGCTATAATAGCCGCTAGCAATAATTGCATGTAAAATCTGACAGGCTCTTTGTACCCTAGTTGATCGATTAATCAACTTGGGTACATTCAGCCTACCCATACATGGTTTGAATCTTGGCCAGTCCCTCCTGAACTAGTCGAAATTTGAACCATCTATGGCCGTCTTAACTCTAAAGCATTATAGGGACATGTCCCCATTCATGACACTCCCCTCACCCTTTTGCTATCATCATCTTATCTCTCCCTACCCTGTTGTTTATAATTCAGATTTTCCACATGTTTGCTTATCAATTTTTAATTTACAAACAGCCTACATGTTGAAAGGTGGTTAGTGAATCATGTCCTAGGGGGCATTGAGAAATTGCACGCCGTTAATGTCCTCAGAGTTTGCACTTACAATGTGTGATTCAAGGTCATGTAGGCATTAACACTTTCAGAACAGAGGATAGTTGACACTTAGGGGTTGATTTACAAAAGCACCTTGTCTGCAAAGAGTCCCCCACAAAGAAGGATCACATATCCACTTCAGCCTTTGGCTAGTTCTGTTCCTATCTGGCCAACACATGACTCTGAAGCATTTTAAGAAAATATCGCTGAGTAAGAACTTAACCACACCAGTTTGTCTCACATTTCAACTCTGCACCCTTGATTAGATTCCATCCATGGGCCATCCAAGCCACCGTACTTCTCTTCACAAAGCCTTGCACACT